TGCCAGTTCATCTCTCACTGTTCTGTTGACCTTTTCTGTGAGATGTGCGAACACTGAGCCAATACGACCCTTATTAGACTTCTAGCTTTTTGGACATTTCAGCAACATTATACATTTGTTAGGAAGAAATGTGCAATAAAAATGAAGTTTAATTAAAATTCACTTTAATGGGAAATAAAATAATTTGTCTCATGTAGGTCCTAAAACCATCTCTCATAAACAGAGCTTAAATCTCAATAATGTACAGCTGTTGGTCACAATAACAATAAACAATGAAACTGCTTAAAAAAAATTACTATATATTTTTTATAACATAGTGACCCTTATAAGAAACATCACATGCCACAAGTGCAGATAATAGTACCTCAGAACAGATTAAGACCAACTACAGTTACAAAGTACTTTCACATGAAAATATAGGTGAAATAGAATAAGGTTAACTGACCCCTGCTCTTGAGCAGCACATGGGGATGGGGAAAAGGGAAGATCTCTTATAATAATTTAGTTCAGTTAATATAGGAACAGCTCCAAAACCAGACCCTACATTTGCTGTTGGCTCGCTCTGAACAGCATACAGACAGAAGCAGCAGTTCACAACAAGTGACTCATGGTAGTCTTTGTAAGGTAAGCCCTACAATATGAGAGCAATAACCTCAGGGATCATATCATCCCATGTGGTAAAATACTTGGCAAAAGTAGGGAGGACAAACATCATTTTAACAGGAATACACATCCAAGAGAAATAGACGCCTGCTACGACTAGCTAGGATGCTACAGAACAGTGAGACGCAGCAATGAAGAGCAAAGAAAAAGCCAGACAACACAGGATACACAAAGAAGACTGGGGGTTGGACTGAAGTGAGAAACAAGTAAACAAACAAATAACAAACCCTACAAAAACCACAAATCAAAAACATATACCTCCAGAGCCCGAGATACCTGACAAGGCAACCAACTGCCTTGGTGGAGCTGAAAAGGTGATCTTTAACACAAATCTTAAAAATAAAGAGTCTGTCTATGTGCCAATAAAATAAATCATTCATTTACAGTTACAGTGGTGAATAATCATATTTAATATTTACAAAGTTTCAAATATTGAGGGCATTATGTGTGAAAGTCATCTCTATGAGCCAGTGCTCAAACTGTTTTTTGTTGTTGCTCATTTCCATATTATGTCAATGACAACTGATATCATTGATATGGCCATCTCATGGCACACGTCTATGGCTGTGAGTTCAGAAGAAGCCCCACCCAAACGCTGTTCAAAGCTTTTGCATGCTAGAGGCAGCCAGTCCAAAGGAAATTAATTTCAAGGGAGGGGGAAGGGAACTGAAATTTCTTGTTGCAGACAGGAAATGAACTTGAGAGGTGCACCAAGACCACTATAATAAAAATAAGGATTTTAAACTGCATCATGCAAAGCTACTCTAGTAATCCACAAATAAAGATGGAACTAGAAATTAGCAAAATAGTCGTCCTCTTTGTTTTGGTCTTATGCGGCCTGCAGTTACTTCATAAATGGTGGTTAATGTGAAAAGTGGAGCTGTAATGCACAGCTGCTGTTAGTCTTTCACATGGAGCTGAGGATATCAAGTCGAGAGAGTAGAAAGGATTGTGGATTTGTAAATGCTGTTAACACCTGTGTGGGAGTGTCTGCAAATCATTGATGACAAACTGTTGCATGTTCATTTGACATGCTAGTTACAGAAATCACAGCATTCATCTATGCAGGGGAGTGTTATTAAAACTTGATTTATTGGCCACTTGGGGGCAGCATAATATAAAGCAGCAGGCTTGTCCTATAGTGTTTATACTCAGATGCAGCAACATCATGCAATACAAATGTTCATGTTTTATGCCAAAAGAATCCGAAATTTGCAAGCTACATGTCACAGATTTTACATTTCCTCACTTTAAGACTGGAAAAGGAACTACTGGTATGGCAAACTAGTAAAATGAATTCCGTGTAGTCTTACTCCCAACGTGACAGATGTCTTAGTTATGTAAAGTGCTTTAATTTGTGGGACTGTAAATACCTAGATTAGCTTGTCTTTATCATGCCAATTAGTTGATCAGGGTTTTAAAAATTTGTGCGAATCTGCCAAAGTTCGGAAATCATTGGGGCTTTACACTAGGGTCTTGCTTTTTGTATCAGAGATATACTAGAAGCTATAGACTACTGAACCATTAAGTATCCAAGGCTGACTACAGCAATTGGCATTTATCCACAGACATGTGAACAGGCACTAGAGCCTTGCCGGAGTAGCAAAGGAGGGTGGGTGGGTGTAAAGCTTCATTACCATTCACTACAGAGGAGACTGAAGTCACTGTTTCAAAACACTGAAAACCAAGTTTATTGTATCACATGGAGTCATTCTTATTGCAGCATTAACCAGTTCATTGTGTTGCCCAGTTCAGTAAGCTGATTGGATTCAGCTAGTATTTTATCTGAAAGACAAGAGGGAAGTGTAAGTACAATTACAACATGCAGTTGTGGTAAAATTTAGACATTAGGAAACATACCTGCGAAACACCTGTGTAGGAAGAAGCGGGTACTGTTTGTGCTCCAACCTGGTAGTAACCTCCCACCACTGGACTGCTCACATACAAGCTGGGAGTCTGAAGGCTCTGAGCTGCTCCAACAGCCCCCACTGACTGTGCAAAGCCGGGGTAGGGGTGGTCTTTCAGGTAGTGAGTGCTGTGAGAGTAGTCTCGTCCCTGCTCGTAGTCCTGGCTGAAGTGACTGACTGTGCCCGCAGGGTACTGGCCAGTCAGGAACAAGAAGTCAAAGGATGGATACGGACTACCCCACAGCCCACCCATTCCAAACTGTCCTGTGGCAAAGCCTGGGGATGCCAGTCCACCCGCAGCAGCAAAAGCGTCCATCGTAGCTGGGACAGTCCTGCGACCTAGTTCTTCTGTCTCCGACTGGTAGTCCCCAGCCTCAGCAGCCTTCTCATAGTGGGACAACTCTCCTGGTTGGTACGCAGGTACTGGTGGTAGAAGAGCACCAGGCTCATCAGCTGTGCCAGAGGCAAGGCTTTGAGGGTTGGGTGATGATTCCTCACTGAGCTTGGGAGGTGGGACAGCCCAGTTGATTTCTGAGAACAGCAAAATTTAAGCCAAGGTTACCAAGGATTCGGGTCAGGAGATCCTAATGATTGCATTTATACTGCATCATCACACTAGGTACCAGCTGCAGGTTGAGAAGTTGCTCCAGTTTGTGCAGAGCCAGCTGTGCTTCCTCCTGCCTGAGCAGGAGCGGAGTAACTGGAGCCGGTGTATGGTGCTGCCACACTTTGAGCAGCATGTGAGAAACCAGGCTGCTGCACTGCAACACCTCCATATGGAGCACTATAAGGCACAGCTACAGAGGGGTATGGATAAGGTCCTCCCTGGCTTAGGGCAACATTAGCACCAGTATTTGCGCTGCTACCTCCAGTAGAAACACCAACATTTGAACCTTTTGAAAGAGAAAGCCACACAACACTTCCTGGTAATGTTCACAATAAATGTTTGTAGTGCATCATGAAAGATTCCATTATTTACCAGCTGCAGGTCGAGCAGCACCTCCACCCTGTGTGGAGCCAGTCGTGTATCCTCCAGCCTGGGCAGGACCAGAAGAACTGGAGCCAGTATATAATACTGGCACGCTCTGGGGAGCATATTGATAGACACCAGGCTGCTGCACTGCAACCCCTCCATACTGAGCATCATAAGGTACAACTACAAAGGATGGGTACGCATAAGGGCCACCCTGGCTTAAGGCAACATTACCTGCAGTGTTTGTGTTACCTCTCCGGTAAGGAGTGCCTGGATAATAGCCTGAGGGAGAAGGAAACATTAATAGAAGTTAAGCACTACAGTTTGTATATATGGAAAAGTTTCACCTACCTTTCTCAAGAGGAAGGCTGCATATATGCACAATCAGCAAGACAAGGACTGAACCCCTAAAACATTTGTAAAAGATCATTAACTATAATAGGCCAGAAGATCAGAAATTAAAATACACTTGCCACATACCCCAAGAAGTAGTCTGTTGTCATCATTCTGAAAGCTACCAGCAATAAAGTTGTCTGAGGTGAAGGCTTATAAATGCTGCCAGAGAGCAGTCTTAACCAATCAGAGCCTAATGACTAAAAAAGAAACACCTGCCTGAAAAGTGAATCACGCTTCAGCGTAAACTGCTCAGGTGTTTGAATGAAGATAACACATTTTAATTTGTGTTTGTTCTTTTTCTTGTTGTTGTTGATGATGGTTATATTTTTTGTTGAAAGCAAATGCAACTTTAATCCAACCATTAATGCACCTTTTTCTCCTCTCACTGTTCTGTTGATCTTTGTTGTGAATTGAGGCACAGCATCACCTTTGATGAGATTTCTAGTCTGTTTGAAAATTTCAGCGTCAATATAAAAAATGTAAAACAAAACACAAATAATGTATCACAGTATCACACCAATGTAGTACTGGTGATGGAGGGAGTGGAAGAAATCCCTTTCAATAACTATTCACTGAGAGGACCAGAGAATTGGAATTAGAGTGAGAATGATAAAAGAAGTAAACAACTACACGCAAACAAAAAGATTCACCAGTAAAAACATTCAGCTATGGAGCCGGAAACAGCTGGAGAACGGGGAGGAAAAGGACACATAAACACCAAGAGGATGTTTCAGCATCACAATACATTACAATGTATGTCAGTGGAAGAAGTACTCAGCTATAGTTAGAGATAGAGGGGAAATGATCAAATGTGGTTTCAGGCAATTATCCGACTTGTTTTCTTAAGAGAAAGTAGGTCGTTCAAGAAGAAGTAAACATGTCAGTATCAAAAACGCAAGAAATGATTTGTTATTTTTGTTTTTATTCTTAATTTATGTATTCATATATCCAGTTTTCCCACACTTTTGATGAATCTCATGCAAACCAGTGAGGCTTTATTCTT